AACCATAAAGAAAATAAAAATTGAGTAAGTAGTCCCCCTGAAAACTCCCTGCAACATGAAAGAACCCATGAAGAATTCATAAATTTTCTCTTCACAAGATTCAGACCAGCTAGACACTGTAATTACATCCATACTGCAAACATACATTTAGAATAAAATAACTGTGAAAGTATTTTGAAATACACTGATATGCTGAAAAATATTTTTAAAAGATAAAAAAGTGACTGATATGCAACAAATAAAAAAGCCTCAACACATCTCACATCTTACCAAAAAAATAATCAAAAATAGTAAAAAATAGTTAAGAGAATTAAATGTAAATTTTAAAACTATAAAACTTGTCGAAGAGATCACAGGACACAGTCATTGTGGCCTTAGGGCAGGCAGAGTTCTTAAAACAACCCCAAAAACACAATCCATAAAAGAGAAAAATGATAGACTGCACATTATTAAAATTAAAATATTCTGTCATTCGAAAGACACTGTTCAGAACAAAACAGACAATTTACACCAGGGAGAACAGATCTGCAAATCACAGGCCTGACAAAAGACGTGTACCCAGAATACACACGGAAACATTAACATACAAACGGCCCATTTGTCTAAAATATTTGAAGACGCTTCATCAAAGAATAAAGATGGAGAGTAAACATGTGAAAAGTGGCTCAATGTCTTCACTTATTGGGGAAGTTAGGGAAAAAGCTGAAGAGAGACACCATGAGAAAAGCCAGGAGAAATACACACACAAAACCACACATAGTACACACCGACCCAGCCACAAAGAACAGGCAGGGATGCAAGCCACAAGTACCTGCTCGATCTGCTGGGGGCTAGGCAGACACGCAGGTGCCTAGGAAGGCAGTTTGACAAGTCTTAGGAAGCCACACACACTCTTCCCGTTTGGCCATCCCCATCCTTCCACCGAATGAAATACCCGTGTGAAATGAAGACCCACGTTCACAGGAGAGCCTGAAGCAGCTTTATTCATAGTTGCTCAAAGCTGGGAACAGCTCACATGGCCTTCTACAACAGAACTGACAGAGATGTGAGTACATTCATAGGATGGAATACTACTCAGCAGTTTTCTTTAAAGGAACAGTGGTGCACACAGCAGTGGGGGTGAATCTCAGAGGCACTCCGCAAAGTGAAAGATGCCAGGATCAGAATGCAACATACTATGTAACTGCATGTGCATAGCATTCTGGAGAAAGCAAACACAGGACAGAAAACAGACTAGCAGGTGGGTGACTCAAGGGGGCAAAACACTCAGAATTGAAGAATACTGGAACACATCCAAAGCAACATTAAGTAGTAAAAGCAGCATAAACAAGCAAGCTAAGCAACCAACAACAAAAGATAGCTACAAAGTGAAAGGCAGAAGAGAAAGTAACAGAAATTAAACGGAAAAAAAGTGCACAACAGAGATGATCCAACAACAGCAAGACTAGTTCATGAGAAATTCCAGCCAGAATTATATAGAATAAAAGAAAGAGTCTATAAATTATATCTCAATTAAGCTGTTGTTAGAATTGTTCTTAATTATTAAAAAATAAAGACACTAAAAGCCAATATCAAAGAAAAGGAGAACACAACTAAAAATACCAGAAAGATCAAACATCATAAGAGACAATAAAATTCTATCAACAAACTTGAAAACAAAGGTGATAACGGATAAGTTTAGATAAACGCAATTTCCCTGAAGTGTCTCAAGAAGAAACAGAAACCCTGAATATTCCTAAAATCATTATAGTTACTGTCAGTGGTTTTAAACCTACCCACAAAGAAAACTCCAGGCCCACGTGGTTTCAATCAAAAGTTTTACCAAATATCTAAGGTAAAAGAATTCCAGGAGGAGAGGGAAGGTGGCAGAGGGATAGGGGACCCTTGAATTCAGCTAGATATCCATCAAATCATTCTGAATGCCTGTGAATTCAACCTGAGATCTAAGAGAATTGCTAGGGTTCTACAAACAGAAAATCAACCACTTTTTGCAAGGTAGGAGGTGCAGAGAAGTGAATCTGAAGGGATATATCGGCAGATAAACCTCAGGGAAAGGGAGCCTCCGTAAGTCAGCTACCAGCAAGTAATAGAGCAGCAGAGCACAAAATCAGAACTTTAGAGGTCTGCTCCAGTGAGGGACGTGCCTGCCTGAGAGGCCCTCAGGTGGCAAAGCGGGGCGGAATCCAAGCTGGGACAGCCTGGTCTCAGGATCCCCAGGGTCACAGAAAGAACAGGGGTGCCTGGGTACGGCAGAGTTCCCAGGCATCCAAGCGGGGAAGCCGGCTTGCCGCTGGGTGTTGCTGTAAACTTCGAACCACGGCAGGACTGGGCAGGTGCTCTCCAAGCAGCGGCCCAGCAAAGACAGAACTGCTGAGTCCCTTCTCCTTCCCCGGGGGAGCAGTGCAGGTGCACGCAGGATCAGGCAACCACTCCCAGAGCAGGGGGCGCAGAGAGCAGGAGTGAGGCGGTGAGACCACCACTCCCTCCCTCCCCTGGGAGGATGGTGCTGGTGTGCACCCCAGGAGTCCACAGACTTCCACACACACACAAGTGACTGACTGCTTTTTCCTGAGGGTGCACCGAAGGGGGTGGGGGACCACGATAGCTCAGCTCCAGGGCTGGAGATCGGGGCGCTACCATTTTTGTTAGTTTTTCATCCTCTAAAGCTGCATGAAAAGCCTTCAAGGAACAAAAACCACACAGAGCAACCAGAAGCAGCTTACACTGAGGCCAGCCCCCTGCAAGGAACGGTGCAAGCCCACCTGAGCAAAGACACCTGCCAATCAGCACAACATGCCCCTCCCCCAGAAGACCAGTGAGAACATCAGGCGAACACCACGTTTATGGATCACACAGAACTGAAAAACTCCTACTCTAGGGAAAAACAGTATATAGACTACAAGGTTTTTCCTCATGAATCTTCAGTCTTTCAGTTCAAAATTTTCTTTTTCATTTTCTTTCTTTATTCCCTTTTCAACTAGCTTATTTTATCAAATCTTTTTAAGTCTTTTTTTTCAATTTTCATTTCTACATTTACATTTTACATATTCCTCATTTTTGGCTTCCTTGCACTGTATTCAATTTTATTTTTCTATATGTATAAATTTTTCTTTATTTACAATTTTGGGATCAAGTGTCTTCTAACAAACAGACCGTAATACACCCAGGACCAAGTGTATCACCACATTCTGTCTACCTCTTTGATTATATTCCCTATTTTTTTCCTTTTTTGGTTTCTGATCTCTTCTGATTTCCCTAGTGTATATTTCACTGGGGTTGTGGTTGAGATTTTTATTTTTTATTTTTTTATTTCTATTTTGTTCTCACGTTCATCTATTCTTCTCTGGACAAAATGGCCAGAAGGGAAAAATTCCCAGAAAAAAAGAACAAGAGGCAGTACTCACTGCCAGAGACTTAATAAATATGGATACTGGTAAAATGTCAGAGCTAGAATTCAGAACGATGATTACAAAGAAACTAGCTGGGCTTGATAAAAACATAGAAGACACTGGAGAATACCTTTCTGGAGAAATAAAAGAACTAAGATCTAATCAGGTTAAAATCAAAAAGGGTATTGCTGAGATGCAATCAACAATGGAGGCTCTTATTGCTAGGATAAATGAGGCAGAAGAGAGAATAAGTGATACAGAAGATAACATTATGGAGAACAAAGAAACTGAGCAAAAGAGAGAAAAACAATTACTGGACCATGAGGGGAAGATTTGAGAGATCAGCAATACCATAAAGTGAAACAATATTAGAATAATTGGGATCCCAGAAGAAGAGGAGAGAGAGAGAGAAAGAGAGGAATGAGTAAGGGTCAGAAGGTATATTTGAGTAATTTATAGCTGAGAACTTCCCCTAATCTGGGGAAAGAAACAGGCATTCAAGTTGGAGGCACAGAGAACCCCTTCAAAATCAAGAAAAATAGATGAATATCCCAATATATAATAGTGAAGCTTGCAAATTTCAGAGATAAAGAGAAAATCCCAAAAGCAGCTCGAGACAAGATGACCTTAAACTAGAATGGTAGGAACATTAGATCAGCAGCAGACCTATCCGCAGAAACCTGGCAGGCCAGAAAGGACTGGCATGATATATTCAATGTGCTAAATGGGAAAAATATGCAGCCAAGAATACTTTTCCCAGCAAGGCTGTCATTGAGAATGAAGGAGAGATAAAGAGCTTCCAGGACAAACACAAACTAAAAGAATTTGTGTTCACTAAACCAACCTTGCAATAAATATTAAAGGGGATCCTGTAAGCAAAGAGAGAGCCCAAAAGTAACACAGACCAGAAAGGAACAGAGACAATATACAGAAACATGGACTTTACAGGTAATACAATGGCACTAAATTCATATCTTTCAATAATTACTCTGAATGTAAATGGGCTAAATGCTCCAATCAAAAGACACAGAGTATCAGATTGAATAAAAAACAAGACCCATCCATATGCTGCCTACAAGAGACTCATTTTAGACCCAGAGACACCTCGAGACTGAAAGTGAGGGGGTGGAAAACGATCTATCATGCTAATGGACATCAAAGGAAAGCTGGGGTCACAATCCTAATATCAGACAGATTAGATTTTAAACCAAAGACTGTAGTAAGGGATGAAGAGGGACACTATATCATAGTTAAAGGGTATATCCAACAAGAAGATCTAATAATTATAAATATTTATGCCCCTAATATGGTAGTAGCCTATTATACAAACCAATTAATAACAAAATTAAAGAAACACATTGATAAAAATACAATAATAGTAGGGGACTTTAACATCCCCCTCAGAGAAATGGACAGATCATCTAAGCAGAAGCTCAACAAGGAAACAAGGGCTTTGAATGACACACTGGACCAGATGGACATCACAGATATATACAAAGCATTCCATCCTAAAGCAACAGAATACACATTCTTCTCGAGTGCACATGGAACATTCTCCAGAATAGATCACATACTGGGTCATGAATCAGGTCTCAACTGGTACCAAATGATTGGGATTATTTCCCACATATTTTCAGACCACAATGCTTTGAAACGTGATCTCAATAACAAGAGAAAATTTGGAAGGAACTCAAATACTAGGAGGTTAAAGAGCATCCTACCAAAGAATGAATGGGTCAACCAGAAAATTAAACTGATAAGAACAGATACTACACTTGATCTTAGCCAAAAGGCCGAGAAGCGATCAACCAGAAAATTAAAGAGAAATTTAAAAAATTCATGGAAACAATGAAAATGAAAACACAACTTTTCAAAACTTTTGGGATGCAGCAAAGGCGGTCCTAAGAGGAAAGTACATAGCAACATAAGCCTTTCTTAAGAAACTAGAATCTCAAATACACAAGCTAATTTATAAAGGAGCTAGAGAGAGAACAGCAAATAGAGCCTAAACCAAGCAGGAGAAGAGAAATAATAAAGATTAGAGCAGAAATCAATGAAATAGAAAGAACAGTAGAACAGATCAATGAAACTAGAAGTTGGTTCTTTGAAAGAATTAGTAAGATCGATAAACCCCTGGCCAGACTTATTAAAGAAAAGAGAAAGGACCCAAATTAATAAAATCATGAATGAAAGACGTGAGATCACAATCAACACCAAGGAAATAAAATGAATTTTAAGAACATATTATGAGCAACTATATGCCAACAATATGGCAATCTGGAAGAAATGGATAAATTCCTAGAGACATGTAAACTACCAAAACTGAACCAGGAAAAAATAGAAAACCTGAACAGACCTATAACAAGTAAGGAAATTGAAGCAGTAATCAAAAATCTCCCAACAAACAAGAGTCCAGGGCCAGATGGCTTACCAGGGGAATTCTACCAAACATTTAAAGGAGAATTAATACCTGTTCTTCTGAAGCTGTTTCAAAAAATAGAAACAGAAGGAAAACTTTCAAATTTGTTCTATGAGGCCAGCATTACCTTGATCCCAAAACTAGAAAAAGAACCCACCAAAAAGGAGAATTATAGACCAATATCCCTGATGAACATGGATGCCAAAATTCTCACCAAGGTACTAGCCAAGAGGATCCAATAATACATTAAAAAGATGATTCACCACGACCAGGTGGGATTTATTCCTGGGATGCAAGGGTGGTTCAACATTCACAAGTCAATCAGTGTGATAAAGCACATTAATAAAAGACAAGAGCCATATGATCCTCTCCATTGATACAGAAAAAGCATTTGACAAAATACAGCATCCTTTCCTGATTAAAACTCTTCAAAATATAGGGATAGAGGGAACATTACTCAATATCATAAAAACCATTTATGAAAAGCCCACAGTCAATATCATCCTCAATGGGGAAAAACTGAGAGCTTTTCCCTTAAGGTCAGGAACATGACAGGGATGCCCCCTCTTGCCACTATTATTCAACATAGCATTAGAAGTCCCAGCCTCAGCAATCAGACAACAAAAATCAATAAAAGGCATCTGAATCAGCAAAGAAGTCAAACTCTCACTCTTTGCAGATGACATGATACTCTATGTAGAAAACCCAAAAGACTCCCCCCCAAAATTACTAGAACTCATCCAGCAATTCAGTAACGTGGCAGGATACAAAATCAATGCACAGAAATCAGTCGCATCTCTACACACTAACAATGAGACAGAAGAAGGAGAAATTAAGGAATTGATCCCATTTACAATTACATCAAAACCCATAAGATACCTAGGAATAAACCTAACCAAAGCGGTAAAGGATCTATATTCTAGAAACTAGAGAACACTGATGAAAGAAATTGAGGAAGACACAAAGAGATGGAAAAACTTTCCATGCTCATGAATTGAAGAATAAACTTTGTGAAAATGTCTATGCTGACGTGGGAACAACACAGGTGGGAACTGGGTGGGTCCACTTACACATGGATTTTTCCAATAAATAAGGTGCTTTACTGTAAATGTATTTTCTCCATGGTTTTCTTAATGACGTTTGATTTTCTCTAGCTTACTTTATTGTAAGAATGCAGTACATGATACACATAATATACAAAATACATGTTAATCAACTGTTGATGGGATCAGTAAGGCTTCTGGTCAACAATTCCCTATTAGCAGTTAAGTTTTGGGGGAGTCGGAAGTTCTTTGTGAATTTCTGACCGCGGGGAGGGCTGGCGCCTCAGCAGCCACACTGGTCAAGAGTCGCCTGAGCAATAAACCCAACAGATGGATAAGAAGCACCTGTAAGCATTTAACATCCACTCATGATTCTTCAAAGTACTTAGCAAATTAGGAACAGAAAGGAACTTTCAAAGCAATATTTTACAATGATGAGAAATCACACGAATGTGCCCATTGGCACCCCTTCTTTCCCCTAAAATAAGAAAAATGAACAAAAAGGTTAAGCATTAGATTCCGGGTAGTTAAAAGGTTAAAGGCAAAACCGTAAAGCTTATGAAGACAACAGGACAGATGTGTGGCTGCTCTCTGTGAGGCCCACGCACCCCCACCCGTGCCCCCACCCTGCAGCTGAACTTTGAAGGCTCCACGCACACACCGCCTTCTGCTCCGTCCAGCAAACCTGTCCAGCTGAGCAGGATCAAATGCAGAGAGACGCTGCGGTTGGGGTTCCATGACCCTGTGCCCTCCCGGTGGGCAGAGGGTTGGCAATATCTAGGTTCCAAACAGGTTCTGAATTGTTCAAAATGTTACTGACCACCATGGCTGCTACGTACAGCTCCCCTCAGATGCCTGCCCCTCTCTCTCCCACTCAGAGTGAGTAATGGACAATGGTTTCCTTAAAGCCTGCCCCAAAGTGTGCCTGTGGCCCCTTCACTGAACCTGCTCAGTCACCCCAACCAGGAGCCACCCGCCTCGCCGGCAGGGCTCACACATATAACCACAACCATGAAGAACAAGACCAACCGACGGGCTTGACTAAACTCGGGAATTTCTGTTCATTCAAGCAGACTATAAGGAATGCAGAACAGCATCACCAGCTGGGAAAACAGATTTGTATCACAGGGAAAGGATACAAGGGTTGCATCCAAAATATTATGAATTCCTCAAAGTCAACAATACAAAGACAATCAGGTAGAGAAATTTTCAATAAGCACCAACCTCCATAGGAATCACGTACAGCCAACACACACAAAACATCCGATCTCATTAGAAAGCAGAAAAATAGTGTTCCGTGATTCATTGTTTGCGTATAACACTATGGAACACTGTGTCAAAAACTAATGATGTAATGTATGGTGATTAACATAATAAAATAAAAAATAAATAAAATTTAAAAAGCAGAAAAATAAAAATCAAATGAGGTATCGCTTCAGAGACAAAAGATTAGCAAGAATATTTAAATCTGACCTCATCAAGTGTCGCCAAGGACTGAGGGGAACCCAGCCCCTTATAGAGGGCCTTGGGACCGCAAAATGGTGCTGTGAAAACAAGTTAGCATCACCTCATAATACTGAGAATGGGTCTTCTGCACGACAGGGGCACAGAGAAATCCGCACTCAAGTGCACCAGGAGAGCACAGGCAGAATCGCAGTGGGAGTGATAAGACAGGCCCCGGTAGAGGACATGGAGAAATAAATTGGGTTCCGTTCATACAACTGAAATGTCTAACAGACCTCAGCTGAACTACATGAGGAAAGGAGAGAGGAAAATATACCTCACAGCTCTGTCAATATAAGGTTCAAATACTTATAAAACTAAGCAGTATTTTATTTGGCGAATAGGAATACGTTCAGTGAAACTATTTTTTAGGTTTTTTTTTAAAGGCAAAAGATTACCTCTATGGGGCTCAAAGGACCAAGCTCCAGAGGGAACTTCAAATGAAATCACGAAGCCCCAATTTTCTCTTAAACTGGGTTATCATACCGTTATTTTTCATACTTCATTCATCCTTTAGAAATGTTTTTATATCTGCACCAAATTTAATAATTTTAAATGAAACTGAATGCTACTGTGAGTGCAAAAATGTCTATGAACCAAACACCTTATGTCAGCCCCTAATGAGAGCCTAACACCAATTAAAGAGCAAAACAAATTTCTACCATTCCAAGTTCTTTTATTATTTATCACTAGCAGGAGACCTTATTAACAACAGAATGGGTGATGCTGTGAATCTGCCTCTATTCAAAGCCTAATTCTAACTAGCTTCCTGAGAAGCCACTCAGAAAGAAGGCTGGGCCAGGCAAAGGGAACTCATCCTGAGAGCAACAAACAGGAGAGAGGGCTGTGTGCTTGGCACAAGTTACTTCAGAGATTCCCAAGAATGTCCATGGCATTTTGCCCCATCTGGGGACTGTCCCCCTTGTGTGGTTGGCATTTAACATGTGCAAGATCAGCGTCCCGGGACTAGGGTCCTCAGTGGGAGACAGACTGTGGGGAGTCCAGCAAATCTGTTCACAATGACTGGGGTTATTACCAGCACTTAAAGAGCTGGACCAGAGACATCAGGTTTCCAGTGATGCCCAGGACATTCCCGCATAACACAGAATGCTCCTGCCTCATACGTAATTCAGAATTGTTTGGCCAGATGCTCAGGAAAGTCAGCCAACCTTGTGTATAAGTATCTGAGCTAAAAGTTAGCTGCCATTAAGGAAAAAAAATGCTTAATCTGTTCTGAAGCAGGCTCATATACATATAAGGAGGACAATACTTTGTTCTGTTTGAAGCTTTACAAAGAGTTTCCTGGTTTGGTTTTTTGTTGTTTTGGGGGGTTTTGAGTTTTTCTGGATTTTTTTCTACTATTTTGGAAAGTCATTTCATGGAGAACAAAACGTTTACATGGTATTAGACCTGCCAAAACACCTGCATTTATAGTGATTCTCTAAACGTACAAAGGTAGACCTATGTAGCCCTTCCCTTTAAATGTCAACTATAAATAAAATGTGTCATTAACATTTACTTGAATATAAAAGAAACACATTCATTTTAATCATATACGAGCACCTGCTTTTTTCATTAAGTCATTGACTGTGGTCATAGCTAAGCATACTTATTAAAATATGTATTATTTTATTATAAAATCTTTTCCTTTTATTTCACTTTTATGTTAAAAGTGGGCATTACATTCGTATTTAATCATGTGACAGGAAAGTTACATTAGCTACACATTTCTTTCCAGCATACTAAAAGAACGCAGCAAAATACATATTTAGCAAAGAAAAGGAAAAGTGTTGAACTTAGTAAGAGTTTGAGACTATCCTCCATCTAGTCTGGCCACTTT